ATATATATATATATATATATATATATATATATATATATATATATATCCCCTAATCTAATAAATAAGTACAAAGTGTACACGTGGCAATCAAATAGCCCCTCCCCAATTGAATTTTCCCACTCTTTTTCATAATGTGAATTTCCACTATTGCCCTTCATTGTACACGTCCATTCCTTAATTTATGCACGTCAATTTGACAATTTCCTACAACATTTAAAAAATGGAAAGTAAATAATCATTATTTAATTTAAAACGAGAATGATATCATTCAAATATATCAAGCTTATCAATTCCTTAAATAGCGTAACTTACCTAATCAAATTATTTTAAATACATTATCACAGTTAGTTTCATTCACAGGAACACCAAATTTCAAAGCAAAAGAGAACGTAATATCAAATAGTGGAGTCGCCTTCTGTTATTCTTTTTGGTATGCTATTAAAAGTTTTTGTTATAATTATTCAATGTATTCATCTTCATCTTCCTTCCATTGCTCTTGTAATCGATTTGTTTGTATATGTATCTGTTACCATGTGTATAGGTACATCTTTCTGTTTGTAGGTGATTGTATTTGTGACTGTTAGTGTATGTATATTATGTGATTGTATTTCTATTTGTATGCGATGGAATATATTGTTGTTATTGATTTAAACAGTTTCTGCTATTATTGTAACCCAATGAAAGTACTTTGCTATTATTCGTATTTCATACCATTTTTAATTTTTTTTTATTTTTTCAATTTTAAACCTCTGCTCAACATTATTGGGACGATTTCTTTAAAAAAATGATTTTATAGTCACTCTGTATGTGAATGGTTTAAACATTGTATATGTATTTGTTACCGTGTGTATATGTACATCTATATGTTTATATGTGAATGTATTTGTGACTGTTAGTGTATGCATATATTAGTATTATGTAATTGTGAAATGTATATGTATATATTTGTAATAGCGATGGAATATAATTTTGTTATTGACTTAAACAGTTTCTGCTATTATTGTAACCCAATGAAAGTACTTTGCTATTATGCGTATTTCATACCATTTTTTTTATTTTTTTATTTTTTTAGTTTTAAACCTCTGTTAAATAGAATGGGACGATTTCTTAAAAAAAATTATTTTATAGTCACTATTTATGTGAATGGTTTAAACATTGTATATGTATCTGTTACCATGTGTATATGTACATCTATTTGTTTGTATGTGAATGTATATGTAACTGTTAGTGTATCTATATATCAGCAAATGAAATACAAATAATAGATGTACATGAAAGAATATAGATGTACTTTGCTATTAAAGTACATTTATATTCAATCATGTGCTTTCAATTATAATGAAACAGGCAAAATGAGTATTAATTTGAATATGTTTTCAATCGTCTACAATTAATACTAATTATTTAATTATAAAAAAAGTTAATACTAATTATTTCTGTTAAGGGTTTAAATAGTATCTGCAAAAATTTTATAATATATTGCTATTTTATCATTAAATGAAAGTACTTTGCTATTCAATCATGTGCTTTCAATTGAAATGAAAAGGGCAAAATAGGTATTAATTTCAATATGTTATCAATTGTTTGCAGGAAATGAATATAGGTAATAAAGTATACCTAAAAGAAATTCAACAGATTGTTGATGATTCACATCTCAAAGTACGGGTCTTAAAGATGTGGAATTTTATAAAGAATAATATGGTTTTAGCGATTGAAATGATCGTCATGGGCGAGGAGGTTGGTTATATTTTTTAACCTACTAAATATTACATATGTTTCAATTAATAAAAATATTTTTTTTATTTTATTTAACAGGGTACAAAATACCATTCTCGTGTTTTCAACCAAAATTTTTCCAGATTTGGTGATCTTTTAAAGGAAGGTCAAACTTATATCATTTTAAAAATCAACATGGCGGCTGTGAGAAATGGTTTTAGTGTTACCGGTCAGAAAAAAACCATAACTTTGGATTGGAAAGGTATTCTAAAAAAATGTGAGGATTTTTTAGGTCCAGTTAATGGTTTTGTGTTTGTTGATTTTAATTCTATCATCGAACAAAATTGCCCAAGAGACTAATTATTTGGTTAGTTGTTTAATTTTATTCAATTCACTTTTATAACTTGTGTAATTTATTATACATGTTAGTATGTTAGTATTTAACTTAATCTTATTTATTAT